CAAGGTCATCCGACCAAGAAAATGAAGATTGAAACCAATGCACAAACAAATAAAGAAGAAGATGATGATCTCAGATCAAATGAAACATTTGTATATTTAAAGAACATGGCTAGAAATGATAATGAAAAGGATTATGATCATAAAGTAAAGGAGTATATAGATAGAGGAAGCAATGAAAAGGAGGCTATAGAAAAGGCTGAGAAGAAACTTGTTCAAAAGGATAAGGAAATATTCATGAAGCACTATAAGAAGGTCTTAAAACAAGTAATTGGTTTAGCAGACAATGCATTACACAGAAATATTATAGATGAAGTAAATGATATGTTAATGAGAGGTGTGTCTAGAGATCTTGCAATCCGAAAGATACTTGTAAAAAATGAACATAAGTTTAATGAGCTATTTATAGATACGGATGAAGAAGACAATTCTAATGAAGAATTAACTGATCAATAGTATAATCAATATGAAAGCAATTCTAGAAGTAGCAGTTGATATACATATATATATGTGTATCCTTTCATCACATAAGTTATTATTCAAATATTCGTCTATGAGGAAAGATGTCTTGGAAAGAATATGTAAAAAAGAATTATTATGATACTTCTAAACCAGCAAGTTTTAGTGGACCTAAAAAATTACAGAGAACTTTACAAAAAGTTGGATTTGATGTATCATACTACCAAGTCAAAAAATGGTTGGATAGTCAGGAAGCGTATAGTCTACAAAGACCATATAGAAGACGGTTTCGGCGTAACAAAGTGTACGTGTCTTACATTGATCAACAATGGGATGCTGATTTAATGGATGTCTCTAATATGTCATCAGAGAATGATGGGATACGTTTTATTTTAGTTGTCATTGATATCATGTCCCGGTTTGCATTTGTCAGACCACTTAAGAATAAAACTGGACAAGCTGTAGCAGTTGCATTTGACGATATTTTTAAAGAAGGGAGAGTACCAGATGTAACACGTAGTGATGCTGGTCAAGAATTCCGTGCAAAACGTGTACAGACATTGTTACGCAGATGGGGAGTGCGTCATTTTGTTACGCGTAATACTCCCAAGGCAAATTACTCTGAACGTTTTATTAAGACATTGAAGACGAAAATAATGAGATACATCACATATAAACAAAATCTTAGATATATTGATAATTTACAGGACTTTGTCAAAAGCTATAATGCTACTTGGCATAGGGGAATAAAAATGATTCCTAAAAATGTCTCTAAAGATGATGAGCTTAATATTTGGTGGCGTATGTATTATCCTAAATCAATAATAAAAAGTCAAACCAAATCCAAGCAAATTTTCAAATTCCCCATTGAAGCTCAGGTTAGAATTACACAAGCAAGGCATGTTTTTACCAGAGAATATGATCAACATTGGACTGGAGAGATTTTCAAAATAGCTGCTCGATTCATCAGACAAGGTCTACCTCTATATCGCTTGAAAGATTTTGAAGGTGAAGAGATTAAAGGAACATTTTATCAACCTGAGCTTCAACGTGTGCATATTGATGAAGACAATCTATATAAAATAGAAAAAGTTTTAAAACAACGCACAAAACAAGGTCAAAAAGAATACTTGGTACATTGGAAATATTGGCCTAAGAAATTTGATTCTTGGGTTAAAGCTACTGATATCAAAGCCTTGTAAATATTGTATATTATGCTTAAAATAAATAGAAAAACATTATTTTATGTTATGTTGATATTTATATAAATGTTGAAGTACATCTTATTTTTGTTATTTAGCAATGAAGTATCAAAGTGTGAGGTTCTACTGTATATTAGTATATATTTTTAAAGTGCTCTTGGCAGAAGAAAATACAACATCATTAGCACGAATAAGTGCTTCAACACCTTCAAATATATTAACAATTGAAGAAATATCAATTAGTAATTTAGCAATTGGATCTACAAGTGTTTCATTTATGATATTGATGTTTTATTATCTGAAAAAAAGAAGCATGAGAATTATAATATAACAAAGTTTGCAAAGTTATATGAGATAATACAAAAATCAAATAGTGACACAGACTTTAGTGCATCAGTTTAAACAATGGATAAAGACATCTATTTTTATTTGAGTAGCACTGATTCAACCAATATTTATCCCAATAATACAGCATCAGAGTTTACTGTAAAGTTACCAAGATACTTTTATCTTAAAGGAAAATGGAAAATAGGACTTGTTGACATACAGTTACCACCATTGGATTCAAATGATGCATTATTGTATTTAGATGTGTTTTGTGATTTATGCATAGAAAGTGTTGTTGATGGAAATGTACAACCAATCTTAAGGCGTATTCCAAAGGATTATTCTTGGTTGAGTTTTAATCAAGTATTATACAAGGATGTCGGGAATTGGGAGTTTGATCGCATACATGTGTATATAAGAGGAAATGGTAACACACTTGTGTCATTTAAAGACAAACCTTTGACGTGTACACTTCATTTGAAACAAGTATCATGAAATTAGTACCATATGTAGACAGACCAGAACACTGGTTGAAACTTATTAGAGCTGGTAGACAGAATAGATTGAAAGTATCTCAAACAGGAAGAGGTTGGATAAGTGAAGATGATATTAAAGATGAACCGAAACAAATAATATCTCCAATGCAAGCTGTCGTTGAGAGAGCAAAAGCTACACTTAAAAGACAGCACTCAAACGAGTCACACGAGTCAAACGAGTCACGTGATACAATTAGAAAGAAAAAACGTGTATATAAAAGCAAACGCAATAGTAAGTCTTCAGTCAATAAGAAATCTCCAAAGGAATACAAACGTAGGTCAACAAAGACATCACAGAAAAGAAAAAAGTAAATTCAACTCAAATAATTAAAAATGGCATATAAACTCATGAACAGTGCTGATGTAATGAATGGGAAATTACAGTTATTTAACACACCTCCAACAGAAAGTAGTGTTGTTAGAAGGAACTATGTTGAGTACAGACCTATCAATCCAATAGACAGTGAGTCTCCAATAGAGTTCATCTTACCAAACAACACTTCACAGTTTATAGATCTTCAAAATGTAAAGCTATCTGTCAAAGCGCAGGTATTGAAAGCAGATAATTCATTACCGAAATATGTGGATTTGACAGATTATGATTCATATGGACCAATAAATAATTGGATTCATTCTTTATGGAGTGAGGTTGAGATATCATTACAACAAAATAACATGGCATCATCTGTCTTAAACTATCCTTATAAAAGTATGTTGAAAACATTGTTAACATCTAGTAAAGGAAAATTAGAATCTGAAGGTACGGCATGTCTGTTTTATATGGACAGTGGGATATATCCACCTAATGGAATGGATGCAACAAAACCTCTGGGACAAGGCTCTAACAACATGGGACTAACACAAAGATTTGTGAAAACTCAAGGTGGAAAAGTAGTTGATATGGAATGTAAATTCCATGAAGATATCTTCAGCATCAACAAATACCTCATTAATGGTGTTGAAGTGAAGATAAAACTAAATCATACAAAAAACAGTTTTAGACTTATGACTGATTCAAATGAACAATATAAAGTCAAACTTTTAGATGTACATTTAGAAGTTCCAATGATTACAGTTTCAAATGGTATTTTACAAGCATATAATACTGAATTACAGGAGAGAAATGCTGTATATACTTATGATAGAAATGAAATGAAAGTACTCTCATTACCTAGTAATATATATTCTTTTAATCAAGATGATTTATTTCAAGGACGTGTACCTACACGATTGTATTGTGTCATTGTGAAAAATGCAGCATATCAAGGAAACTATAAACTTAATCCTTACAATTTCATTCATGCAAACACTTCATATGTTGAAATTTCAGTAGATAATGTCCCTACTCCATTTAGAGCATTTCAACCTAAGTTTGGCTCAAATGATTCACAAGACAAATATGTTCATGAGTTTACACAATTGTTTTCAGATCTTGAACACAATGATGGGTTAAATATAAGCATAGATGATTTTAAATCTGGTTTTTGTATCTTTAAGTTTGATATAGGCTATAAAGACACATATTCAAATGGTGAAATTCTTCCATTGTTTAAAAAGGGAAATGTAAAACTTGACATTCATTTTTCTGAGGCAACACCTGAATCATTAAACATTATTTTAATGGCAACATTTCCGGGAAAATTTGAGGTTGACGCATCCCGCAATATTATTCAGTACTAATATGAATTCACAAGATATAAGTTTTATTTTATCAAATCATCCAGATACTAAGCATAGATTTCTAGGAGTATTTGCAAGTGATCAATTACCATCTATTATCATGGATAAAAAATGTTTTATAGCAAATACTAGACCTCACTATGAAATGGGGCAACATTGGGTATGTTATTATAGAGATTCACAAATTGAATTTTTTGACCCCTTAGGTCATACAGAAACATTTTATGGATTAAAAGAATATGGAGATGCAATGTTTGTAAATCCCATTCGTGTTCAAGGTTTGAACAGTTCAAATTGTGGACAATATTGTATCATGTATATATTATTGAGAACTTTAGGGTATAGTTTAGATGAAATTGTAAACACTTTCAGTGTGTCTAATAACATGGATTTTGTAGTAGAATCTATCATTTCTATCTTAAAAATGTTAATATTACATCAATTGTAAAGAAAATTGTAAAATAAATTTAAGATTGGATATAATGTATATATCAAACAAAAATGTTGTGTTATTGATTTGTTATGCTTCCATTTTAAAATTCAGTCCTCACCCATTTAGATAACAATGATGTCATGCGCATCTTATCTCTCACCCATTTAAGATAACAATGATGTCATGCGTATCTTATCTCTCACCCATTTAAGATGAAAGCCCCATCCAATTAATTTATCTCCTAATCCCCATTCAATTAATTTATCTCCTGCTCATCAATATCTCCTGCTCATCTTCAGAGATTTTGAAAGCCCCGGGCCCGTGGCGGCCCGTGGCGAGCCAGAACCTGACATTTTATATCTACTGCTTTGCCTGAACTTGAATGGATCCCGATTTCTGCCCAGAGTTGAATGAATCATCAATAACATTAGCATTTAAGATTCCTTTGTCACACAACTTGCCTCCAAACCCTGAATCCCCGCATGCGCAAGCGAAACCATCGTCATTTCCAGCAAGGGAACATTTTCCATCATGTTTACAAGGATTAGGGTGACATGCATCTGTAGGAAATAGAATACTGAAGTATAATTAATACTGTCAAATTAACTTTATTTGGTCAAACCTGGCCCTATGCATGTTGATAGAAATCAATATTTTTTTCCAAATATGTCCGAGTTTATTTTAAAAATGGCATTGTAGGTTCGTGATGTATGAGGTAAATAGAGTATTCGAACATGACTGTATTCACGCCTTCTATAAACTGTGAAAAAAGTCAATGCTTCAGCTAGGTTACATTCGAGATCAATGCCCCAGCTCTATACTAGTGTTTCGTTCAGTGCACTCAATGGTCAGTTCAGGCTGGTCCGTTCTTTTTGCAAAATTAAATCTTTATATGGATATCCGCTGTGATTTTTTTGTTTCTGGGCAATATAGAATTAATTACAATAATTATCAATGTAGTAGATATGTGTGAAACCAATAAAATAGGCCGAAATGTCAATGAAAAAGTCGGGGTCAAGAGGTTAGTAAACAAATTGGAACAACCAAACGCTCAAACGGAAGTAGAAATGAAAAAAGTGGAAATTATCATCAAAATTGACGATTTTGCAATATTCTGGTGAGTTTTCATGTTCGAATCGTAATATAGACCTCAGAGCAGGGCTACTAGGTTTGTGCCAAGACCTGCTGGGTGTATTCGAAACTAGTAGCCCTGCTCTTCGGTCTATATTTCTTAAATAGGGTAGGCTTACTCACTTCGAGAGCCATGTTAGATTTTAAAATGTATGGCTCTCGAACGGGGACAGCTGAATAAAAGTGACCTTTGAAACATGAATTAAGTCGATCAGCGGCTTACTTTTGTTCTCTAACTATGTCATGCATCATTATCATCCTTCTGTGCAAGTATTGGAGCGCTATAGTACCCCTTTCGATCAAGACTTGTAATTGTTAGTCGAGTGAATGTTTTTTCTGACAAATTCCAATATGGCGTTTTCTGCTCGGACATTTTCGTAAATATCCGGAGGTTGTCCGAACCCAACTCATTCTCAAAATTCATTTCGTTCGTTGCGTAACTCCTCCTAGTAAACCGCCATATTGGAAATGGGTCGAAAAAACATTCACTCGATGAACAATTTACAAGTATTTCAGCGCCCCGACCAATATTTGCACGGATTGATGATACATGTACTGATGGAAGACACAGTTAGAGACCAAAAGTAAGCCACTGATCGATTTAATTCGTGTTTCAAGGGTCACTATTATTCAGCTGCCCAAGTGCGTCGTGGGAAAGCTATATCAAAATCCACATAGCTTTCGCAGGAAGTAAGGGTAGGCATGTACTCCTCTACAACTATTTTATTTATTTATTTTATTAAACATTGTAATAATTTAAAATGAGTTCCCACCTACAATTGTTGACTCATCAATGCAGGTCAACTTATCAGGACCAAGGAGGAAACCATCGGGACAGGAACATACAAAACTGCCATAGTTGTCAGTACAGGTATGCGTACAGCCACCATTATTTGTAAGACACTCATTTGTTTCTGAAAGTTGATATGCAGTTATGAGAAACCTAATTATATGATTAAACTATAACTGTTTTAATCTTACTATACACTGAACAATAACCATATAAAGACTCGTTAAGACTAAAATTGAATAGTTATCAAAAAGCTAATTGAATTTATGCACAGTTTCCTGGAGAATTATATTGTAATTTTGGTGACAAACATCGCTAACTACAAATATCTAAGCACAAGAGCCAAAAGGAAGGGACCAAAACTGTAATGGGAATTAAAAAAGCAAACTCTAGGTGTATACTATTTTGTCTATTTATAAGAAAAATAAACTCTAAATATAGTATCATAGAATTTATCCCAAAGCCATAATCTAACGTGAAAAAAGAATGTATTATACCTCCTTTTCCCTCAACATTCAAGACCGAATATCACAATATAACTCTAACGTTTCTAATATAAAGAGTATACATTAAAGTAAATGCATTATGATTATGTATTAGTTGCATTAGAGGAGTGTGTACATAAATAAATCAGTAAATCGAGTTAAGTTAATCTTAATGACATTGTATATACGATGTGTATCGTATTGAAAGTATCATATTGTATTGATTCGATTGTATGTGCCGTTTTAGCTTGTGATGAGTGAAGCTGTGTACTTACAAAATTTCACCTGTGTGCCATGTTTATCCATTTGATAATAATGTAAAATGAATACCCGATTTGTATATAAAGGACTGAGGTACTAAATAATATTTTGTCAAAACACCCTCGATTAAACACCGACCATGTAAGATGAATAAGAGAATATATGAAAATCAAGATGAATATTCGTTATATACCTGCACACAGTTTCCCATTACTTTCAAGAGAAAATCCAGGCTTGCAAGTACACCTAAATCCGCCAGGGGTATTCACACAGCCTTCCGCACAACCATCTGTGTCTTGTACACACTCATCGATGTCTGCAACCAATCAAAATATCATGTTTATTCAGTTCTTTTTTTGATCATTTAAAGGGAGTATGTTGTAGATTACCCCCATATCACACTAAACTAGTTCTCAACCGTTCTTTCGAGTCTTACAGAAATGTCGTAAAATGTGCTAGATCTGGCTGTGGTCTGGAAATACATGTATGTCTAAAATGATCAGCTACTTTGTTGATAAACAGTCTTCAATAAGACCGTCAAAGGCCCATTTTCGAACAATGAATCACCCAAACATCAAAAATCGTTCAACACCAACGGTTCTTTTTCATATTCGTACCTGCGCAGGTCACAGCATCATCCTGGAGCAAGTACCCAGAATTGCAGTCACAGCTATACGAACCAGCGGAGTTCTTACAAATCTGTTGACATCCAGCATTGAATTCCTGGCATTCATCAATATCTAAACGTGTGATGAAATTTATTTAATCGATTGATACGTTTTAAAGTATTCTATGTTATAAAACACAATGAATAGTAATCGCATCACACCGATTTATGTTTCGACCTTTCAAAACGAATTCCGATTTCTAGAAAACAAAATTTGATTTTGATTCTTATTTTCATTGTTTGGAAATCAAGTTTTGTACATTCTTACTAATTATTCGTACATCCTGACTCACCTGCACATGTTTTACTTGTTTCGTCTTCAAGTGTATACCCGTTGAGGCAATCACAACCAAATGAGCCAATAGAATTGATACATTTCATTAAATCCGGATCACATCCACCATTGTTGTTTTGACACTCATCAACATCTTTAACCAAATCAGAGCAAGTTTACCAACACAAAAATGTATTTGAAATACGAGCCAGAAGGAATATAGTCAAGACTACTGCAATCATATTTTTGAAAGGATCAATGTTGTGTACGGTTTTGGTAATTGCTATTTCTAAAATTCAAAATATCGTAGATATCAAATGTGACACAAATATTTCCAAAAACAAGTTTTGTTGAGTTTTGACGAAGTGACAAATTGATTGTTATGTAGTTATAATCATTGATAAATGTGTAATGTTTAATAAATGATTCCACCTAAAACTTTTAACATAATTATAATATCACCTGCATGACATTTTATCAAAGATGCATGCATACTCTTACCTGAGCAAGTTCTCCCATTACTGCTGAGTGCATACCCGGCATTGCAAGAACATTTGTATGATCCAGGAGTATTGCTACAGCCTTGGTCACAAAGATCTTGGGTACATTCATCTTCATCTTAAATATATTATGAGATTATACCATGTAATGTTTATTTTGCATTACTCTTACGAATACTACTTTTCTATTTGCACTGTATTATAATGTAACTGTTTTACATACATAAGATGCAAACTAGTAATACATACATATTGCTTTTGAGTCCTACTCGTATTTTTTAAAAGTAAGAAGGGTGTGCTGACCGAGATGGGCAATTATCTAATAATCTTTTCTTACGTGTCAAAGGCAGAGGACCTATAGAGAAACCAAGCGGGAAAAGCAAACTTTACGTGTAAACCAGTCATAGAAAAATAGACCCTATACATCCCAAAACCATGATATAACGTAAAACTAAATAATGTCTGACACCCCCGTGTTCCCCCTCCAACCGAGAGCCAATATTACAATTTAGGTCCAGAACACCAAGAGACATTTCATCCATACTGAAGTTTTGCAATACATGAAAAATTGATAGCCAATAATAATAAGATAAAAAATAGTTTTAGATACTAGTACTCATAAACGATCCAGTGTTCAATGATGTGGGATAGACAAAATCTAGTCTCGAAATTCATAGGCAATCAAGAGTCAACATCCATTCGCAAAACCGTCGCCATTATCCATAAAACACAATAATTCACAATGGTCATCAGGAAAAATTATGGCTGGTTTCGATCCCTATTTCTTAGCCATTAATGCCATACATATGATAGCCCTGATCCACATTAAAATGTGCCAAGTGAAAATATTGTGAGTTAACACACAATAATTCGCAATGGTCATCAGCAGAACATTACAGTATAGCTAGTTTCGATCCCTATTTCTTAAACATTAATGCCATAGCCGGGATCCAAATTAAAGGGTGCCAAGTGAAAACATTGTGAGCTTAAACACAATAATTCAAAATTGTCATCAGGAGAAAACTATGGCTAGTTTCGATCCCTATTTCTCATATTTTTGTTTCAATGGTGTATTTTCTCTTACCTTTGCATGTTTTCTTGTTGTCATCTAAGACGTAACCAGTATTACAGGAACAGCGATATGAGCCTAGTGTGTTTTCACATATGTGCTGACAACCTTGATTTGACAGAGCACATTCATCAATATCTGAAACAAACAGATAAAAAAATTTGTGTAAAGGTTTATCATGCTTGGTCTAAGGTCTTTCTTCGGTTCTAATATTTTCTTTTAACAAAAACTTAAATGAGTAAAAGGCCATTTTTTGGTTTGGGATTAACTTATTGTCAAATTTGTTTGAAAGAACTGTTGCCTGAAATGTAGATTTATATGTGTCTTTCCTATATATCTTATTTCACAAAAATGAGTCATTATCTATAGGATAGGCACACTGTATGTTGCATACATAAAACAGTACACTACCATCACAACTCTGTCCATTCAGTCTATACCCGGCATTACATTCACAACGAAATGAACCCTGGGTATTCACACATCGTTGGCTACAGCCGGCATTAAGTTGTGCACATTCGTTGATATCTGAAATGGACAATAAAGTAAAACAGACTTCTGATGAGGAAATAGGCATACGGTTATCTGATAGCAATTCCGTAATTCGTCGTCTAATTTTTTTTAATGTTTAGACGTAATAAAGCAATACATAATGGCTATATCTGTAGCTTGCCAATATATATTTACAACATATATAGGGTGTTCAAAAACGCAACCCAAAGAAATCACTATATACTAGTTCAATTATGTTCTTTTTTTCAGGAAAGAAAGAAAAGACTGTGTATGTATAGCGCAGTAGATGGTTAGTTGTAAAACATGATGCCTTGGACACCTGCTCAAAAGACAGTTGTACTAGGAAAATAGGAAAAAGCAGTCAGATATGACTGCAACCGCAACAAAAACTAATTAACAACAGGAGCTAACACAGTCTCCTCTTTCTTTCCTCAAAAATGAACACAATTGGATAAGTATTTTCCAAGATATACCGATTTCTGTGTGTTGCGTTTTTAACACCCTGTAATTATTGGCGGCTATTTCGAATTCTGCTCCTGACGTAGATTTAGTGAAATGGGATTTGTAGATTTGTACTTAAGCAAAAAAGTCGATGACTTGGGAATGATATATCACTCGTTTTTTCATAGTAGCTGCAATACTCGCCTCCAGTCTTGAATCAAGGTAAGCAACTGTAACACCAAAACTTGCGATGTATTTAACGAACTAAGAGTTGAGTCCGGTGCCCTTATCATTCATCAGTATTCTACTTGATGATATACTACTTCAGCCATTTGCAACCATGGGCATAATGGCGCCATATGAATTCATTAATTTAGGGAAATAACATGAAAACAACGCTTTACCACTGCATGAAAATCCGTCTGACTGAAGAGTGTATCCCCCTTGGCACGAACATCTGTAAGACCCCAGTGTGTTAATGCATCCATGTACACAACGAGAAGTCCCCAGTTTGCACTCGTCAATATCTGTATTAAAATATAAAATATATGTTAAGGGGTGTAATTTTTGTGATTCCGTACATTATTTACAACATATTAATGATATTTTTGTGGTTTCAGGAGATCGAAAGGGATGCATGTCTCAAAGTTCAAAACTGGATTTCTTAGAACTGGTGACGCTGAAGCCCTATGACTTCAATCTAGAAATCATCGACATGAAATGTGCACAAAAAGTCATAATTTTTTAGTCTATTTATTATCAACACATTACTCAAGGATCATTTACATACAGCTGGCCAATAGGGTTGAACAGGCCTACATTGTAGGGTATCAAGCAAGAAGGAAGTTTTAGTTTCTATAATTTTCTGAGGGGAGAGTAAACATCTACATTCCACGAATCACTTTAAATCACGTATTTTTAGGATTCACCATAAAGTTGTTGTCATTGGGTGCTATACATTTATTGCATTCACCTGTTACGACCTTGATGGTTATTGATAATTTACGATTTCGAAGAAATATAGCTCACAGTACCTGTATCGCCCGACAAAAACAATTTCGTTTTAAATTACCGTACATGTGTCAACAAAAACAGGATTTATGTGTTGACACATAGTATTTTAATAAAAAATGTTTTTGTAAATACTACATATGTATCCACAAGTACCAGAGGGAAAGGACCAAAACGTTATCACAGAACATAGCAAGAATAAGAAAACATCTAAGAATAAACCAGTCATAAGAAAAACAAACCCAAACTACACCTAAATATTTGGGTGTGTGTACCTATACAACTGCGCCTGTTGGTGGTGGAAAGGCTATACCCTGTTTTGCAAGAGCATGTGTAGCTTCCGACTGTGTTTGTACATGTTTGAGCACATCCACCATTTCCATTGTTACACTCATTGATATCTATAAACAAACAAAAATCTGTTCAGTAAATACATGCAACCGAGGTATTTCATATTATTGCAAATTGCAATGAAGTTGATTAGTATGGTAGCTCTTTATAGACTCAGTATTATGGCCTGGAACGTTAAAATAGTTATAAATAAGTAGTGTCCCAAATCGTATCTTTGTCAGCTATTGTCGCTCGTTAACACCCCCTCCCCCTTCTAAGCTAAAATATTGAGGTCCTTTAATCCGGGGATATCGGTGATCGTGCCCAGGAGAAGGAAACTCGGACGAAAGAACTCCATGAATTTGATCCATGGCTAACCCCCCTATCACACCAAACTTGTTCTTACCCGTTCTTGCCAGTCCTACGAAAACGTCGTAAAACGGGCTCAATCTGGCTGTGGTCGGGAAATATGTCTAAAATAATTAGCATTCGCAGTTCGTTCAGGTCGCACCAGGTCGGTGTGCAACGTCGTATAACACGTACTTAAGTCTAGAAGGTCATCATGACCTGATTACAGAACGGTATGGTAGCCATCGAATTTTGAATCGATTCAAAATTCTAAAATCACCTTCACGTCTGAGAACGTTCATGAAGTTCGTAAATAGACCTTCGAAAGTTGCAGCTACGTTCATTCCGTTCGCACACAGTTTAAAACCAGTTTTGAAGAACGCAGTGGCAACTTGTTTGGTGTGATATTTATATTTTTGCTAACTGCTTCATAAGCAGTCTTAAATACGTTCTTAATCAGTTTAAACCCGTTTGCAATTAGTTCTACCTCGTTCTAAATACGTCCTCAGACAGTTCAACTCGTTGTTAAAACGACCCTAGTAAGATTAAAGTACGGCGGTTCCGTTCGTAGTACATCCAGCTCGTCGTTAGTACGTTGTCACTCGTTCTTATTGTAGAACGTATCGACCACGAGAACATTTTGAGCATGTTCTAAGTTTTAGAGGACCTACCCGTTCGAGTACGTTCGATGAAGTTTGTAAATAGACCCCAAACGGTTCTAAGTACGTCCAGTCCGTTCATACACAGTTGAAGCCCGTTTTCGAGAACGCAGTGAGAACTAGTTTGGTGTGATAGTAGGGTAAAGGGATTTAAATTAAATCGTGTCTTAGGTGGAACTCCAGTCCATCGATACTATATGTATGGATGCAACGTTCGCCTTTGCCATATGAAGGTAATGATATAGTATTAAGTTTACTCCTTTTCCACGAAAGTAAACAAAGGGGGCTGACTTGCATAAAGACGTTTTTGTATACTTTTAGTGTTGAATGTCTGCACTATACAGTATCGTCCTTCAGATACATGGCGCTTTTTAGAGACTAATGTACAATATGCAGACTATTAGACTATTATTGGTTCATTTTACAAAACGTTGACTTCTTACCTACACAGGCCTTTCCATTAAGGGCATAACCCGTTCTACAAGAACATCTGTAACTGCCAACAGTGTTAATGCACGTATGAGCACATCCACCATTTCGAGATGCGCACTCATCAATATCTGAAAAGGGATGTTCAGGAGATATTTTATACAAGATGATCAAATTCAATCCACGTTAAACAGTAATAGTCGGTATCACTTACAAATGGCACTGTTGTTTTATTTGTTACTTTTGTTTTTCCCGTAAGATCAGACTTCACTCTTTGTAGTTATCGAAGATATAAATCAGCATCATATTTGCACTTATTTATGGTTGCCACGTTCTTAATCATTCAGAAAAATACAACCAATGTTATTTTAAACTGCTTTAAGAATTCAATCTCGAGAAGTTATGACAGGCGTTTTAATGCGTACAATTAACCAGAAAGAGATTACTTCGTTCATTCTCTACACACAAAATTGAAAATCGACTTACCTGAACACGAGGGTGACGCAAATCCCGTGCGGCATGCACAGTAGTTTGGTCTTATACACGTTCCGCCATTGAAACACGATGCCCCTCCATTGCATATCGCTACATGTAAACACACGCAATTTCATTAGTATTTGAAACATTGAAATTACCCCATCCTACAGTCTCATAACTAAATTTAACTTTTACTCAAAACGAAATGACAAATGAATGAATCTAGAAAACGTGTCTCACTCAGCAGTGTCTGAACTATTATGATATGAGGTTCTTACGAATATCACAATTTGATCCCTTGTATCCGGCACAGCAGACTCGGACAGAATATGTTACCGTTCTTGCTCTTGGTTGGCTCGAATATGTCGTGTGGTATCTGCAAAAATATGTCATAATCGCAAAAGATCAATAAAATCAACTGCAATATTTCGTAATTTTAGTTATTACGCTAATTTAATGAGCGACCAAACTGACTCACAGATCAGTTTCTGAATTAATGTTATCATGATAACTGTGTTTTATGTACATTTTGCAGTTTATAAAAATAATTTGATTCAATGACTCTCTTCGTGATCAATATACTACAACCTACCGATATCTTGTACACCTCTTCCAATTTAAAAAGCCACATTTGGCACTGTATCTACTCGCCCGTGAGCCAGATACTCGCACTGTGTATTGTTCCACACGTTGCCTTCGACTGGTACACCAGCCACTGTAATTTAAAGAAAACATCATTGACGTTCTAAGCAGCATCCATTTAATGGCATGGAAACTTAAAAACAAGTTGCTTCATGTCGCATTTTAGTCTAGATATCTTATATCCCTCTATATATATGATCTATATAAAATATAGTTTTATTTACACGATTGTAATAATCTTACCTTTCGACGACTTGAATATAAAGGCATAGTGCAACAAATCCTGAAATGATAGAGATGTGCATCGCGCACAGTTATAGCGTTCATATGTCAAACAATTTCAAACGCTGCGATTTAAACATGATCAAAACAGGTGGTTAAACAGTAAACACTAAACACGGATAAAATGAAAGTAAAATCATAGAGCTGCATTGTGGACTATAATTGATGCATTGTGTCGTTCTTAGAATATTTGAATATTTTTATCTATTTTTTGTTTGCTTCGTGGAAACAGAAGTGAACCAATAGACAGAACGACACACGCTAAATAATCACAGTCGTAAACATATATAAGTAACTATTTATACATATTTTTATGAAATGCACTTTTGTAACGTCTGAATAATGCAACAAGTAATCAAAAATATAATACGTTTCTAACATTTATAGAACATTCTAATTACTGACGTTCACATTCCGAATGAATAAACTGAAAAATGTAACACACACTATGATTTTTATTAAAAAGATTGTTGGGCTAATATTTTTAAATCTTTTCAAATTGTGTCTGACACCCTTCAGATCTAATTTGATCGCAGCTCTGTCCATATACATTTAAGTCTTATCATTCTGCAAATCTACCCATTGAATAAAAAAATTCTAAGAAACTATGATTTAACGTGATTGTTAAGCTTGCGTTTGACATATAGATTGAAACTATGATTAAACGTGCTTGTTAAGCTTGCGTTTGACATATAGATTGCAAATATGATAGATGATATGATAGATGACATTGTGATCTCAAAAATGTCAAAACCCTAATTTCTCATGAGTTTGCTACTTCCTTGGGTGATTTGGGTCGATTATTTTTTCGGAACATCAACATCTTTTGCGAGTGATGGATGTGATAATGTCACTCATTCTAGTCGAAAATCATTTTATTTTCCAAGAGGTCAAGTTAATGATCTTATTCAGGGCGTTGAATTAGTATTGCTAATTTTGCTATATCTTTTGTTCTCTTTAGTCCATGGTATGACTCCCAAATATGAAGAACCCGTAGCACACGATAGTGCAGCAACATTTGACAGCTGCATTTGAACCAATATTTAAGGAGGCGTATATGTGTTCTTCTGTTTTCAATACTGTTCGCTGAAAAATCTTCCGGCTTTCGGGTCGAAAATGTCTTTCATCACAAGGGGTAAAAAACGTTAATATTTTGATTCGAACTTTTATACTTTTTATAATGAACAGGCCGTTATTCTGAGCACTTGGACTGGACAAACAATAAGATTATCATAAGGTAAAAATTTACGATAATTTTAATGTAAATGTCGGATTTTAGTGTACCAGGTCGTTCAATAAGTTCTCGGGAAAATGCTCTCATTATGTCCCCACCACATAGTGTGGGGCCATATTGTCGGCCTAGGTGCGTCCGTCTGTCCGTCTGTCTGTCCGTCTGTCTGTCTGTCTGTCCGTCTGTCTGTCCGTCTGTCCGTCCGTACGTCCGGCAGTTTTCTCCAAAACCGCTACAGGTATCACCTTCAAATTTTCAGGGATAACTTAGGAGTGCATACAGATGTGGATGAAAAAAAATTAACTCGATACCTACTTTCTGTCGGCCATTTTGAAGTCAAATGCTAAAATCCTTGTCTGCAAACTTTAAGAAAAACGGCTTCACAGTTGCTTTTAAAACTTTAACATCTTGTTCAGCTCACTTCATTCTAGATCTGATGAGGTTTTGGACCTGTTAGCTCAGTCATGTCAGTCATTTTGAATGTTTTAAGAAAAGTTAGCGCACGATAATACTTTGTGTCATATTGAATGGTGTTTTTCAGTTTTCATACTTTAACTTTTTAGTAGCTTTATAAATAATTTCAGGTGTACTTTGTTGTAAAAGCTTATGTTATTGTTAACAGTAGTTATATGTGATAATTTTGTAAAAAGATTTCAGCAAAAACTCATAATCACTTTTTTATTGTCGGCCATTTTGGATTTTTCCGTCCTAAAATCTTGTCTTTAAAGTCTTGTCTACGCGTTTTCAGGTGAACCGTTTGGTAGATCAATTTCACATTTTCAGGGATGATTCTTAGTATGAAAATCTAGAACTGATTAGTTTTTGGGCATTCTGGATAAATGTCAAGACAGCCATTTTGAATTTTTTGTCCTAAAATCTCGTCTGTAAAGTCTTGTCTACACATTTCCAGGTGAACAGTTTGGTAGATCAATTTCAAATTTTCAGGGATGATTCTTAGTATGAAAATCTAGAACAGATTAGTTTTTGGCATTCTGAATAAATGTCAAGGCAGCCATTTTGGATTTTCTGTCCTCAAATCTTGTCTGTAAAGTCTTGTTTACATGTTTTCTGGTTAACTGTGTGACGGATCAATTTCAAATTTTCAGGGGTGGTTCTTAGTATGGAAATCTAGAACGGACTAATTTTTTGGCATTCTTGGTAAATTTTAAGGTGGCCATTTTGGATTCTCCGTCCTCAAATTGTGTCGGTAAAGTCTCGTCTACTCATCTTTAGGATAACCATTTGACAGGATCACCCATAGGTGGGGACATGTTGTACACATTTGTGTTCTTGTTTAAAGGATTCTTGATATTTTCCCATAAAATTTTCACACAATGTGCAAAAAATACTTTCTGATTGATTCTTAAAATATCAGCATCTCTAATTTGATTGGTCAAAAAAAGGTTATAATGGTTATCACGAACATTTCCGAAATCGTTCTAGTCAATGCTGTACCAGTGGACCAGAAAATCAACAAAGAGTAATCCTATGGTAATGCCTTGGTCACATTTGCTCCGATTTTCACTACGGCGCCCGGCCGGTTGAGTATTTTGTTCAAAATTGAATGCAATGTTGAGCAAAACAATCAATCGGCCGGGCGCCGGCCGATGGATCGGAGCAAATGTTACCCAGGCATAAGTCGACTAAAACTTAAATAACCATTCAGCCAAACTCTAATTTTTCCATCGGGATAATGCAGCCGATCACACTGCTAATATTGTGCAGGAAACCATCACAAATAACTGGCAAAATAGATGGTAAAGCTGCCCAAAGTTACATACTATCCAGTTGAGAGAATCCTTGACGTTGCTGTTTTCACTAGGGATTAGGATAAAGGATCAGATAAGAGGTGCACTTTATGGAATAATGAAACTACTTTCGACTGCAGTCAAGATTCAAACAAGTTTTCCAGATGGCTTCAGAGCACTGTATGTCAATGGATTGAATGCAAGCGACTGTGCATTAAACATGAGGGAGAATATTTCTGAAACCTTATGGGACAATAGTTGTAAGTATTACATTAAGGTCAGGGTGCATGATGGGAAATTTTCTGCATCCCTCAATTGAGTCACATGTTATTTTTCAAACAAGAATCACTCCTTCCCCACATTGCCTATATCTTCCAGTTTTGCACAAAGAGTGCACTTATGTGCCTAGAAAAGACTTGTGAGAAGAATGTTTTGATAAAGTGTATGAAAAACAAGAAAATTCAGTGAAAAAAATCAGAAAATTTTCAGAAATTTTTTTCAACTAATTTTCTCATTTTTCATACATTTTACAAAACAAACCTTCTCACAAGGCTTTTCTAGGCACATAAGTGCACTCTTTGTGCAAACTTGGAACATATAGACAATATGGGGAAGGAGTTATTCTTGTTTGAAAAATAACATGTGATTCAATTGAGGAATGCAGAAAATTTCCCAACATGCACCCTGTCCTTAAGTAATATACCTGCATTTTCAGATGTTACGAGCTCCTTTAAAGGGTGACGCATATCGTTTAGCAAATCGAACGCTCGTTTCTGGTGTTGCTCACCATTTAGTATAAAAGGCTCGATCCCGGAATAATACTCAAGGGTTCAAAGGCTCGAGGTCGTTGTGTCAACACCTCTAACTTTTATATAACATTGGTACAGTTTAGATCGTCACATTCATCGCTAACATTTCAGGATCATCTATTTGTTTTTATACGAGAAGCTTATCGGAACCCTTTAAGGTGCTATGGAAGTTAACAGGAAATGACAAAACAGGAAGTGACAAAGCCATGCTGGATTTTGAAAATTTTTTGAACCAAGATAACAGAGTTCTGTTTGGACCTCCAGTCAGTTTAACTAGTTCCACATATCATTTACATGACCGGGAACACAACGGAAATGGTCAGAATGACCATAAATATGATGAAATAACCTTTTCAGCCCTCTGAAAATGTGCCTGAAAAACAGCTAAGAGTAGGTGCTCAGGAAAGGTCACTGAACAGAATCTTTTGACTTTTTCAGAAAATCTGCCCAATATATTGCTTAAAATGATACAATTTAAAAAAAATTGATATCATTCTTAGAAAAACAAAAAAATGAAAAAAACTGAATTGAAAATCGATCGATTTACCTTTTTACTACAGCCATTATTGTTTCAGACAATTTTTTAAAATTTCAAAGATTGTATCATTTAGAGCAATATATTGGACACGTTTTCTGAAAAAATCGAAAGATTCTGTTCAGTGACCTTTCCTGAGCACCTACTTTTAGCTATTTTTCAGTTACATTTTCAGAGGGCTGAAAAGGTTATTTGATCATTTTTATGGTCATTCTGACCATTTCCATTGTGTTCCCAGTCATGTAAATGATATGTGGAACTAGTAAAACTGACTAGAGGTCCAAACAGAACTCTGATATCTTGCTTCAAAAATTTTTCAAAATCCAGCATGGCTTTGTCACTTCCTGTTTTGTCATTTCCTGTTAACTTCCATGGCACCTTAAATATGTTTATCGTATCATTTGCGCATACATTCCCTGTTCTTCCCTGTTCTAATATTTACAGGCGTAGTGTTAGGAGATGGATACTTTTACCATAGAGTCAAACTGTGTGAATTTCTTGGAACCGTTTGTTTCATAAGTTGTCATGCCGCTTTCTTAGTATTACTGGACACAGTAAACCGGTAAGATTAGTCAAAGCTTTGTCTTAGATGGGGATCGGCGTTTTGGAAATATTGAACGATACTATAGACATGTTTAATCAAAGTATGTTATAAAATAATCTGTCTTTTTCTTTTTTTATTCATCAAATTTAAAATGCATACATATATGCGAAAAGATTATAAGTCACTCCATTATCCATTAAAATAATCTATCTTGGTGGTCATCAACAGAAACTTCGTTAAGTTACGAATTCGTGAATCAGTTGTAACCATGGATAGGAGGTCACAGTTAAAGAACAATGGATTTTACGAATTCTTAGCTTTACGAAGAATCGGTTAAGGCGACGCTATATTAAACAAAAAGTACAAAAAATGACTGCCATATTTTTTTGATAAAGACACATGTTTTTAAAATCTGTTTACCTTGTATATGAATTGTGTATCTTGACTAATGAAACATGTCAAAGTTAACATCACACATAAACGCATTTTTCCAAACTATGAATTGGAGGTGCATGGATACCCAAAGCTAGCATGAAGTGAGGCTAATTTTTGAAAGTTTCAAGGAGTAGCCTTGCAACAGTCACACATTTGCAAGAGTCTAAAATTTCCACAAATCATCTTACCTTTCCCAGGAACAACGAAGGAGCATGAAAATGTGCACTTCTTGCATTGTTAGAGTATAATGAAGCTCAAACCATTGTAAATTCTAAATATTTCATGTCCATATTTTGTTTGCCGGAACTACTTCTAGACTACCTGATTAATCCTCATGCAAGTTTTGTGACTACACCAAGTGGCATGGATTATCACTTGTATGTTTTATCTATTACAGTGTAATTATCATGATAGATACATGATAGAGGCTTTATGAATGATAAACAATGGAAACATGAATGAAGATAACTCTGGACTAAAAAATAGTTCCAGGAAACAAAATGGTGGACATGAAATATTTAGGATTCACAATGGTTTGAGCTTTATTATACTCTAACAATGCAAGAAGTACACATTTTCGTGCTCCTTCGTTGTTCCTTGGTAAGGTAAGACTATATCTAGAAATTTTGAATTCTTGCAAATGTGTGTCTGTTGCAAGGCTACTCCTTGAAACTTTCAAAAAATAGCCTCACTTCGCACTCTTCATGCTAGCTTTTGGGAGCCATACACCTCCAATTCATAGTTATGAAAAATGCGTTTAAATGTGAGGTTTTCTTTTATGTGTCTCTTTAGTCAGGAAATGCATTCACATACAAGGAAAACAGTATACAAAATCTTCTGACTTTATCAAAAAAATATGGCTCCCATGTTTTTGTACTTTTGATTAACTTAAATGTCACCTTAATGTGCCCTTGGTTCCTAACTTGTACTGGTCCATGTCCGTGATGGTTCCAGGATGATATTAGTTTGGTTCCCTCGGCAATACCGTCGGTTTTTCACATGGCGGACAGCACCAATCATTGTATTTATACCATGGTTGATTGTAACATTGACAATGCTACCATTGGTAATACATCGGGGCGGGATGACGTATGACCCATGCTATGCATCAGTGATTATGACACAACACCAATCATTCGTTAAAAGTTCATTTACTCTTACAAGGATCACAATTCTAATGTGAAATCACAATCCACATATCAATAAGATCATATAGTTATATTCCAATGGTGTTTTAAGTTGATCGAAATGGAATTACTTCTTAAATCGAGAAATTAAGTGACTCTGGCAATACATTTACATGTATTCTAGTCCTACCCTTGTCAATTGACCTTTTTTTCCATATAAATGGAAAATAGATGGCATCATGGGTATTGGTTGGTTGACGCCAACGTGAAATTGTAAATTTTCCGTTCTAAATACGAAACTCTGAAGCTTAATGGGTATCTGGAGTAGACTAATTAGCATTTGTTTTGTATACGCGATATCACCCCATCCAGACAGATGGTGAATGACAGCCAAATTAAGTTTTATAAGTATGAGAATAGCACGATGTATTGATATTTTAAGGTAACGTCGTTTGAAAAGTGATGGTGGTGATTGAAAAACCGATGTAAAGATAAAACCGCAACGAAATATTTGTAGATTTCTTTGAAGAACTAAAAAATATACATCACATATCGAATTTTTAAAAACAGAAAAAACATAATAAATTGCAAGGCCTGCAGGTGCGATTCTCCCTGGTAGCATTAACATTGGTCTCGTATATATGTCACACAATTAATATTTATATTAATATATTTTATTATAATTAATCAAATATTAATACATGTTTTTCATGAATCGATATGTGATGTATGTTTCTTAGTTTTTCAAAGAAATCTACATATATTTCGTTGCGGTTTTATCATTATATCGTAATTTCAATCACCACCATCACTATTCAAACGAGTTACCTTTGAAATGTCAAGACGTCGTTTTATTCTCACACTTATAGAACTCAATGTGACTAGGTAATTGACCATTTATTAAGCAGTAAAAATTAATTTGCTTCATGGGTGGCAAACTTTTTCTAATTTCCGGTGAATGTCAAGTCTCGCATCATGCGAATGTAATTTTAGGCGTTTGTAAAATTTTGTCATTTTCATGTTTTATTTATTGTCTACTTTATCTTTGAGGTTTATTGTTATAAAATAAAGCGCTATGCCGTACACTAGACTGTATTTTTTCATTCACCGAATATTTCCATTGATATCTCAGTGTTTAATCATATCATAAAATGCTTCGTTGTGCACAAAATTGGATTTGGTCCAATAAAAGAAATAATTAACTTTGTATGAGAATGCTTTTTGTTTGTTTGTTGTTTGTTTGTTCGTTTGTTTGTTTCCTCCGGAAGGCATGATGAGTTGAATAAAAACATTGAAACATTTTTACAGTACAAAAACGTAAAGGTCTACATGATATAATAATACATTTAACAGAGCAATTTACAAAAAGCTTGACCAAGGTTTAATTGACGACGTACTAATTTGGTTACATTTCAGTGAAAAAAAATATTTTTGTTGAAATACATTGTTTATATTCTCTAGGATAAATCTACTTTCTCCATATGGACAGAATCTATGAAAAAATTACAGTGCATCTTTATAAGTCCAGTTTATACTTTGAAGAATATTAAACTGTTTGCATTTAATATGGTTGTCATGACATTGCCACATCATTACTTTGAGCTGTTTGTTGTTTGAGATGTTGCTAAAGAAACAAGTTGAGCATTTTCAAAAACTGGATGGATTGGCACTATGTGAACATTTTCTGGGGGTCCAACTTTATCGATTGAACTTTTAGGGTCAAGACATGCAGGAACTAGTTCTGCCTTTGTAAGAACTTCAGTTTCGTTTGGTATAGCTGCCTGTTGATATCCATCGTATGTCTGTCCAATGAATGTGTCTCCTTCACGTGGGGTTATAAAGGGGAATGATTCAGGTTGGCTTTTACATGTAAAGCTGTCATGACAATAAAAATGTTCATTATACTGATCCCATAGGTTATTCAAGAAACCTCGGCTGCCTAGATGAATACGCCAGGATCCTGAAAATAGGGTGTTTATACCGAAATTTACACCTCCAATGAGGTCTGGTATGATGGGGGTTATATGAGAAGGATGATCCCGGATACAATGGAATGTTCTATTAGATTTGATCCACTCTTCAATCGCAGTAAATTCACGATCTGTTATACGGAACGAAACATTCCGTATAATAAACCTCTCTACAGTTGAATCATCACTGGCCAAATATGGCCACAACTCTGGAGATAATGTCGTAACCTGAGTATCCACATAAGATATTTGGGCTCCAAGATGTTTTAGTTTACTTATTACATTTGCTGGTATTTTGTTAAATTGTAATTTACCCGACGGTTTCTCAATATAGAACCTTGCAGTCCAGCCTGGAAAATTGACTGGGGTAAGCTGAGCATTGCGAATTGCCCCGAACAAACTAGCACTTCTATTCCTATATAAGGCCATTGAAATTATTTTCTGTTTGTTGGGATCCTTAGTAGGCTCTTTCGAATTTCGGTATTCTATGTAACGCTTTAGTACTCTTTGCGTTGACTCTATAGTAGTTTGCAGCTTTTGCTTAATGTCAAGATGGAGATCATATCTTCTCCCAGCTTCCTCAGTATGCTTAAGTTTGATATCTTTACGTTTGGAAGAATGATCAGGATGATAAACCTTTGTCACCCACTCGTCCGCAAACCAATCTGTGAAAACCCGTGGGTAATACATTCCGAATATATCCATGTGGGTTTTGTGGGTGAAATCATAAGTCAATATGGCAGTGTTCCCTCCACTATGATCTGGGCCAACGACTCCAACATAAGGGGGGTTATATTTGGATAAGGTGTCTATAAAAACCTCAGACCATCCCACCGTAAGCATGTCGCTGTCGTCATTGATACGATAGAAGAATGGAATGTCATCAAGGTATGCTTCCCACATTGCATCATTTTGTGCCCATGCTGGTTTTGCCGCATGACAACAACGCACTAAATGAACTCGAACTTGTATGTCTGATGGGCAGCCTTTCTCCACAGAATTGTTGAATTCCTTGATGAACATTTCATGTGAATGAGGAAGGCTGAAATAAGGGTCGTTGTGATCATAAGCCAAATAGAAATAATAGCTGAATCCTTTACTTGCTGTTTTACAAAAACTCGGAAGCAAACTTTTGAATAACGGTAATTTAGAAACCATATTTATCGCAGTTATTCCCTTTAGTCCTCTTGTCGTGATACCACCACCTATTGCAATCGTTTTATCAGTAACATTTGGAATTTGATCGTTTTCATCACGGAATTTGTCCTCACAATGCTCATAAACCTTTGGCTCCATTTTATCCATAATCAGTGAATTCATATGTTTAAATTGCACTGCGCTGATGGCGATCAGAAACGTCACAATTACAATGCAAATGAGACGTTTAGTTGTACATTTCCTCCTGATTGGCCCCTGTAAACCAGAAAGATTCATCATGTATATGTAGCATATGTATAACTCTCAGCTCATGCTATCCAACATGTCCAAGTTGAGATCAAAATGAGAAGCGCGACATGTGTGCTATTAATGTGTCCTAATGTAATGTTGAACAGCGTATGCTAATATTATCTCGATGAATTGTGTTATTGCTTTAGCAATATTATACTAACCTTTAGTCTATGTCAGGTTGTTCTAATACCCGTTTATGTTTCCATATTATAGAGGATAAGATGCACGGCCAACCGAAACGTGAACCTGTATATGCGTACGCGTAAAGGTTTTTTCTAAATGTTCCTTTGAGCAGCAAAAGAAGCGATTTACCACCCGTTGAGTAATGCCTGCCACAGGGGCGTAGGAAGGTGTAAATTCAACACTACGCCAATAATATGAAACTATTCTGTCAAAACTTCAATATCAAAACGCCTATTTTATGCTCGTAAAACGTTTTTGACATTTTTTGACCATTTTGACCTTAATAAGGTCAATGAAGGTCAAATCTCAAATCTAAAGTTAGATTTGAACTTATGATATCTTGTAGATGATTTTGAAAAAATGGTCAATTTGAAGCAAGTTGAAATAATACCTTTTTGACCGTGAAAATCTTTAATGAAAAGTCAAATTTGAACTTCTCAAAACTTCAGTCCAAACAGTATTTGTTAAGTTATTGGAATGTTTAAGAATGTGTTACAGACGCCAACCGCCGACCGCCAACCGCCACCCGCCGATCACCAACCGCCGTCAAAAAACGGAGACCACCCCAATATGTCACCACTTTCTGGTGGTGACATAATTAGAAACAGGGTAACTTTCCATTCTGATACACATCGCATCTAAAAAACCTGTCTGTGCAAGAAGAGATGGCTATGGTGTTCCATAATGGTAAGTTTCAATATTTTACGAATTAAATTTTTCAAAAAGTGTCATTTATCTGTGGCTCAACTTAGAAATATAACAGAGGCACAAAAACCCTGCAAAAGAGTACTGTTGAAAAAATCGAGTATATTACTCAGTATATGGTATGATCTTTAGCCTACAGTGCTGGTATATATTAATTGATCAGTCGTTTAATTGGCATATTTTCTTGAATTTTAACATTTAATGTCCCAAACTCCCACAAACTGCAGAAAAGTATACACCATAAATCAAATTTACCAAAATTAGTGTCTCCAAGGCTTCACACCAGTGTATGCATTATGCATTTGTCACGAGTTTGAGCTGAAAGGACGGGTGTCATTAAGGGCCCTTTTTAGCCCCCAAAGATATCTGATAATAATGCATATCATATTGAAGAAAAATCATTTGTGCTTTATAAAAATACAATTTCAGCGAATTTTGACCTTTGATGTTCACACAACAGTCATTTAAAGATCATATACCATTTTTGTTGTTTTTACAAAAAAATCTTTATTTATTGTTGTCTAAGTAAATAGTATATAAATATTAACCAATTTAAATATATTAAAATGTAATATATGAAATACTGAAGAAAAGATATGATTAAAATTATTTTCATGGAAAAGAACATAGGGCAATATTGACAAAATGCAAATGCTATTTTGGTAGGTTCTGGGCTAGCAATGGGTACATTTCAACTGTGACTGTAATGGATTACTATTGACTTTTATCAACATAACAGGGCAACATTTAAGCAACTTAAATACAAGGAAAATCAAAGATTTCCTCTCATTTCTAAAACGAGGAACAAAAGCATGAATTCAAGGAAAATAAATGATGGCCTGTGCCAAAATATATAACATATGAGAAAGTTGTAGCACAGTAAAGGATATGTATAGGATATCATATGATTTTATCTTTATCTCCGAGTTGATATCAATATCTTGCCAAGTTAGCATAGCGAATTAGCGCAGATATTGATATCAATGAGTTGGATTAACACAATATCACGAAAATTCATAGGATCTTCTATTTTTCCCATAGTTCACCTCTAAAACTAAACAAAGCATATTAAAACAACATCCATTCATTCATTCATCCCCGTGATGTCATGAAATCACTAATTAACAAAACACATCATATTGGTGGTAGTTTTCAAATCCCTGCCAAAAGGTAATATCTGTGAAATATTTTTTGTATTCCACAGATATCACTTTTTCCACGCATTTGCAAAATATCATAAATATGTTTTCATGTTACCTAACAGAGCGGAACAGAGTTCAACTATGGGATAACAAATAAAAAATAGGTACATAATTGAATTAGGGTTTAAAGAAAGAATATTGAATATGAGATTCAAAAAGACAAGTGGCCTCATGTCTCACATTACCAAAACCCCAGATCCTCGATGTCATATACACTTGTATACTGTATATCAATGTTATTTACTGGGAGGATTAAATATGGAGTGTATATAGCAATGGTCAATACGATATTTCCAGATGGATATTTTTTCCCTAGAAGCGGAACCCAAACTCAGTCATGACATAGAAGCTAACTTTTGCAATTAATAGAAACTTGTTTTTTATTATATTTTTGTGTTCTATATTTGAGGTGAAATAATATGAGATTCATTTCTACAAGAGGATGGAATGAATGTGAACTTGCATATTGAACTATACTCCTTTTCTGAATAAACAGAACAACATTTTATCCAAGCCAATTAAGAAAACCAAGGCCAATGAGTGTAATTTATGCCCAGTTAAACTAACACAATAACAACTTTTTGTCTGGACTCACTTATTATGTAAGAATGAATTGTATTACTGTTTACTGCATTAAATGTCAAATATACTATCTGTATTTAATTTCAAATGCCTATCTCACTTATCGAAGGTATACAAGAAATGTTATTTTGAAACAAATTCAGCACAACCAAAACCATGTCCACATAATATGACAAATCCAAGATGGCTGCCACAATTTTAGATCCATGCACATGTGAAGAAGTTAGAAATACACATGGTCCACAAGTTCCATCCCCAATAAAATGGGAAGTTTAAGGTTTTCACACATATCAACTCTATTCCTATATACTTTATATTTGTGGTAAGGCTTGTGATCTAGGTAAACTTAGCATGTTCGTGTACCTCCTATCCTCTGAAGCTAAAAACAGAAATAGTGACTTCAATTGAGAAAAAATGAATCTTATGGGCTCCATATACATTTTGAGTGGCTGTCCGGCTTAAGTTAGATACTACTGATAATCTGAGATTGAAAATTATGTCAAGTTTAGTCCTCAGCCTCTCATAACGGATAACTTCGAGGTAATTGTGTTGTTACTGCAAAAACCTCTATTTCTTCATCACAAATCTACCATCTTTTGCATCTGTCAAAACCCTTCATTTCATGTTAATTTTCAGACTTTTGCTTGTGCCATCATTAAATATATATATTCAACTTTTTATTCAGAATATTTTAAGAACTTTTCATGAATTTTTTTATTTTGACACTTTTGAAAAAATGACTAAGTCAGAGAATGGCCTCTTAATGGCATGTCCCCTTTCCCAAAAAAGAAGTAGGCTAAGGGTAGTCTCTGCCAGGTTTGTTTATTGTGGTAAGCTTGTAAGTGCTCAGAGGCAAATAATTCACGTGCGCAAAATAATCAAATAATCTGATTGGTTTAAACTTTGCTGCACATGCGCACAATGTGTGCCATGTTTTTTTCTAGTGATTTCTTTTCGTTTCATTGAGTTTCCGTTTCAGTGTAACTTCCGCAAAAATGGCTGACCATGGACAGAATTAACAGGTAAAATCACTTCGAAATTTCAAGAGAACTTTTTACCTATAATAGTGAAACTTTTGTTTTATTTGTGCATTCTATCTATCAGATAAGAGTCTCAGGGGTATGTAGGCAAATTCATTTTGGTAGGAGCAATCTGTTTAGTTTGAAAACGCACCCTTAATTATTATAAATCAGCACTATAGTTATTAGTTAAGTGTGCTCGAGATTACTTTCACAATTTATGAATGAGAAAATATGACTAAAGAACATGGGCAATTTAATAAGCCTTCTTTTTTTCACTTTTCAACACTACGCACTGGCGTTTTGGCGTACATTGTTCCTACGCCACTGCCTGGGTCACATTATTTACTCCGATCCATCGACCGGCGCCCGGCCGGTTGAGTGTTTTCTTCAATATTGTATTCAATTTTAAACAAAATACTCAATCGCCCGGGCACCGTTGTGAAAATCGGAGCAAAAAGAGAGGTTTTGCACAACGGGTAATGCCTTGGTCACATTTGAGAAAATTGTCTGAAATATGTAGGACTATTTGAATTGACTGGTTGTCAAATCAGAACTCTGTTATCTTTGTTCAAAAAATGTCTAAAAATGCCACATTTTTTGTCATTTCCTGTTTTGTCATTTCCTGTTAAGTTCCACTGCACCTTACCCAATAATACACCACAACCCGATCGGGTACGGCCCGCAGATAGACATAACTATTACAACCAAACACAACCCAAATCACCAATTAAACACAACCAATCGTTGAACTAGCTCGACACAATTGTGCACAAACAAACACTTCACAATTAAAACACAATCAGGCACAACCAATAAAACACAACTAAACTAACAACCACGAAACACAACGAACTGTGAAATTAACATCACACGATTTGGCACAATCCAATGATAAACCAACAAAAGCAAACACGACTCAATGTTCAAGTAACATAACACAATTTTCCAAAACCAAACAATCAAAACAAAATCAGGCATAAGTAATAAAACACAATCAAACTGTAATACCAATATACACAACTAACTTACTCCAATTGAAGACAACGCCAATTCACACAACACAATCAGACACAACCAGATACCTCACCCGACTTGCCACAACCAGCTACCCAACCAACATAACATATTCACAAGAGAACACAACTCATTATAAAATTAACATAACACAATGGGGCACAACCCGATACTAAATCACCAGACTAACAACCATCAAAAGACAACCAACTCTTAAACTGACACAACACAATTTTGATACGGGTAGCTATTTGTGCGAAACATGTACACTGTAATTATTGCAATACAATTCCACACAGTATAAAATGAATTGAACATACCATTTAAAATCTTGATTTATGTCAAACAATAAACAAATCCATAACACAAAAAAACAATAATTTGTTGCGCGCGCATCGCACTTCACGTTCAGGTTTAGGTTTTCGTCGTCCAAAAATCTGAAATCTGAAATCTTATCCTCCCTATTAATTCAACGTTGTGAAATCTAAATACGAACCATTTGGTATTTGGCAAGTGTTTGATAGAAAATAATTCTTTTTTAGTTCCTCTGTTCACCGTGTATTGGCGACGTCGATGGTTATAGAAATGAATGATAGTTCAATAACTACAGCTAAACAAACGACTATGTAGAACGTACCTTTTTATTTATTAATCAATAAAAACATAGTCATAAATGGTTAATTTATGCTAATGGAAAAATTGAATGAGATAGTTAATATTACAATACCAGCCATGAATTAAAATGTCAATACTGGCGAGGTGCACAGAACCAGACTGGTGATCGCTTCTTTCATTTGAACAGAATGGTTGTACGAGGGTCGATTCAAAAGTTCTGCACCACTTGCTCTAAAGATCTGAACACACTTTATGAATATTGTTCATATTTGACCTCATCCACCATAGCATCATGACTAAAAGAAAAAGTGTGTTAGATGCCGGATTAAATCAAAATCCTCGATAGAAAAGCATAAAACATAACTACCAATCGTCACGATACAGAGAAAGTTGGTGCCTGGGCTACGTTGCCATACAATCTAATCTATGCTATGGACGCGTTGCCATATTGCTGAAAATGACCGTGCCACGTTTCCGGCGAGTTCAATTTTGTAAGCAGATTGCGAGGAAAACAAACAAAAGTTTCAATGTTGATTTGTATTGTACATTCAGTATGTGTCAGGCCATTGAATGCCAACGTTAAATTTGCTCATGAGTCGCGAAATACCACCTTAAAGAGAGAATCAGATATAGCAAGCAGGCTAAACAAAAAATTGTCTCCATTTTAGAATATTTTTGGCTTATGTCATTCCTTGTCATGTCTATTTTCTAAAAATCACAAAAGTGCATACTTTATTCAAGGATAACTAAAGATTTTTACAATAATGTATTATTTTTCTATAAGAATGGTTACCATTCTTATTATTTGGGAGAATTTAAACATTTTCCACCCATTTTTGCACTTTGAATCATTAATAACTTCACCAATTTCTAACATATTGTGAATTTTTGGGAGATATTGTATTTGATATTGTAAGGAATAGATTGGTAGGTCAATTATAAAAGTTGATTGTAATTTTGTCACCCCTATAGATCTGATTCTGCCTTTAATTGGAATTAGAAGATAGCTCAAGAAACATAGAATCGGAAATCATATTTGTGTTGACTATTTCTTTACTCTGGTCAATGCCAAGTAACAGAAAAGCATGACTTTTCAAAACCTAACCTATGTTTCGAGGAAATAGACGACGAATTGGCTAAGTTAATCGGAGTCGCCTCCATTTGCGTCTGTTACGCGTTGCAGCCTCGTTTAGAACAGCTACGCGTGCTTTTCATTGATCGACTTTTTTAATTGTAATGACTTCCAGGAGGAATTAAATGTCTCGCGCGTGTTAGCGAGATTTTGAATGACGATAATGATTCCTGCTATTGCATGGTTGGGTTGCGGGACATTGTTTCATTGTTTGTCAGAACACTGTATTAGGATATTGGGGATTTACTTTATCTAGATATGTTGTCTTTATAATGCTATTTGTTATTTTCACTTTGGCATTTGTTTTTTTTGTATTTCGATATATAGCAGTAGTATTCATATTCCATTATAATATTCCAGCATTAACTTCCGGTTTCAAACATGGAGGACGTATTTTCTTAGCGCTCCGCAAAAAACACAATAACAATCATGGATTCACTGGATTACGATCTAGTCGATCGGACTCTCAGCAATGTTCTGGATGAGTCTATAGAGACGGTCATGATAGAGATAAGTCATGATTACAATGATGCCGAATTGGAAGCAATACGTGATCGTTATTATGATATCGCTAACACCCCAGTCACATTTCCTAGGGCGACCTTGCGGTCTATCATTTCTGCGGCCAGTAACATTTCTACGCTCGCCGCAGAATTTCTGCGCTCTCATACTTTTGCAGTCACATTTCCCACGGCAGCCGCACGGTGAATTTTAAATTTCTGTTGATAAATAATACTTTTTTCATTTTATTTACATCGGGACAATTCATAAATGTTATTCATAGTGCTAGGATGTAATATCAAATGAAAAGTGATCGTGAAACACTGACAAATAATGATTCAATCTTGTTGAGCCAGTTGATTTCTACGGGGACCTCAGAAATAAACAAATATTATAACTCCGAGTTATAATTTCTACGGCGACCCTGCGGCCTGTAAAAAACTGGATACGCCGTACGGAGGCCGCAAGGCGAGCGTAGTTTTTCTACGCTCGCCGCAGAAATTCACCGATTTAATTGATCTGCGGTGGACTTGCGGCCGCCGTGCGACAAATGTGACTGGGGTGTTAATCACGGATCTTGGAAACATGCAACAATTTATTCGGACCCCTAGCGCAGCGAGGAAAATCCGAAATACCTACAGCACTAAGACTGATCAAACGTACAGGTAACAATAAATCTATGACATTATGTAAAGACATCTGTGATAAGGTTATAATGTCTCATAAGAAGCAAATAGATGTGTTGGAAGCCGAGGTGCACAACATGTCAACGATTTTAGACCAGTTGTTATTGTCCATAAATGTACCCAAATCGCCCACGTGTATAGAATCAAGGTCTGATACAGCTGCTTCTAAGCCAATTAACGCCACAGCACTCCACTCTACTCAAAATATAGCCATGAAATCAGTGAACTGCTCTGATCGTAGCAATACTCAAGTGACTAATCCGCCTGATAAACATGATACGGGGTCAAAAACTGGCGCCAAACAAACTGTCAAAAACACCTGATGAAGGGTCAAAATCTGGTACTAAACAAACAGTCATTTCATCCAACCCTTCTAAACCGAAGGAACCTGAAATTCCAATATCTGGTAAACGCCTAACTGATAACCCGGCGTCTCCACCAACTAACAACACTGCAAGTGCTTCAAACGGACGTAACTCCGAAGTCTTCACAAAACCTGCCAAGAAACCAGTCAAGCCTCTTACAGGTCTCAAATTCGAGATAGGATGATGATGTTATTGATCGTGTTGAATCGCATGCCACTTCGATCAATTTGAATATTATTAAGATCGTTGTTGTACATAATAGATTCAATCGATATAGAGTTGGCTGTAAGATGGACATACCAGAGTCTGGATTAAATGATGCGCTTGACAGTGAGAATTGGCCACATCCGATTGAATGAGAGTCTGGACGCGGTTTAAGACTCGTGGGAGCCGCACTGATACTTCTAGACGTCAACCCGACAGACAATCTTCAGAGATCACTACCAAACTGACCAGGAAAAAGGATCGCACGCCAAGCAGGGATGACATCCACTATCAATCCCATTATCGCTCTGAATATGAGCATGATAGCAATGGCATCGACCAAACTTACAATCGACACGATGATACATCCGATTATGCCTACAATACCCGATATAGTACCTTCCATAGGGATGAGCGCAATCAAGGACCGAGTACATACAGCAATGACGATGACTACAATGCTCGAGAGTACCTCGCCGATCAAGATGAGCGCATCCGCGCAGGGTAATGATCGAGCTGATTGGACCTAGGCTACTTCTTTTGTCTATACAGTTTTACATGCTTTTAATAATTGTCTGCATACGTGTATATAGTGTAAATATGACAATCTTGAAAATTTCTGCTTTTAATCTCAATGGGTTTAACACGTCAAAGGAATATCTAAACCAGTTGCTGGTTGATTTTGATATTGTTGGAGTGTCAGAACATAAGCTCTACCCCAGTAACCTTAATAAAATGAGTGACTTTAGTAATGATTTTGATTGTTTTGCTTTATCAAGCCAACACTTAAATCCTGCCAATTGTGGTATGGTCTGGGGCTGTGGTGGAGTTGGTATATTCCGGGGGGGGGGGGTCCACTGTATATAAAACTCGACGGGGGTCCTAGGCTGAAGCCTCAAATATCAATATGTTCCCATACCAATCTGTCAAATTTCAATATGTTCCCATGCCAACCAAAATAACGCCCAAAGGCCATACCAAATGTCCAAATATAGGACCAATGCCATACCAAATGTCCAAATATAGGACCAATGCCATACCAAATGTCCAATTATGGGACCAATGCCATACCAAATGTCAAAATGTAGGACCAATGCCATACCAAATGTCCAAATATGGGACCAATGCCATACCTTAATTCAAAGTAAATGAAATATAGGATCAATGTCATACAAATGTGCAAATACAGGACCAATCGCCATACCTCAAATCAAGGACAAATGCCATACTGTAGTTGGCCAAAATAACACGACTCACACTTTTACTCATAGCGATACATCACATAAAATGTTCGGATTCAGTTAAATATTTTTTATTTTTAACATCTTACTCTTATCTTAAGCTTCAAATTGTTGGAAATCAACCACTTTTCGAATGGGTGTCGACTTTTGGCAAGCAACCGAAGATACCTCAAGAAAAGCCGGAGATTGCCGAAGATTTCCGAAGCTTTTCTTTGCAAACAAAGTTGGCCGAGGGTACCACGAATGTGAAGAGGACGTCTCTAATTGGTCAAAAATAGGGGCTCGGCATTCTCCGTCAGATTGAATCGGCAAAATTTGGTTGTATGGCTTTACCTTCGGCTGCATGGCCCAACCTCGATTGATTGGAAAAGATGCTGTCCCCTTTTCCAATCGAGTGTCCATTTTTCTTGGCGGCAAGTTTTGTATTGAAATCACAAAAAATCTCGCGAGACTTCATCAAAGCCTATGATTGGTCCTCATTTCCCGGGAAAAGGGCTAAAATTCAAAAGTTGAAGAAGGCCCTGGAAAAGAAGATACTTCGGGAAACGATCCAAAACAACTTCAAATTTGCAACTACTGGACCAATGCCATACCACGAATGTTAGGTAACTTATCTACAACGACCATTCTCATACCAGAAGAGCAAAAGTCCGACCATTGCCATACCTCAGAAGTCAGAAATTTCCGGGCATTCCCATACCAAATCCTAAAATATGGGTCCATTGCCATACCAAACGTTGAAAAAGGTACCCCACATGCGCCGAGGATCCCCGTCAAGGTTTATATATAGTGAACCCCCCGGGGTATATTCTGGCGCCGTACATTGAGTTATAGTGTAATACCTATTGTATTGTTTCATCCACTTTGGAAAAATGTATTGTGAAGTGTGGATTAATCCCCGAGCATGCATCCAATGAGAGTGATCATTTGCCTGTATTTATCTTCATCGACTTAAGTAATGTCAGTCACGTATATCCTAAATGCGATGAGAACGCACCGCGTCTTGCATTGCATAAATTAAGTCAATGCGAAATTCAGTCAAACTATACGGACGTTGTGGAGTGTTCATGTGGCCCATTGCTTACCCTACTATCACACCAAACTAGTTCTCACTACGTTCTCGAAAACGTGCTTCAACTGTGTACGAACGGACTGGACCTACTAAGAACCGTTTGGGATCTATTTACAAACTTCATCGAACGTACTCGAACGGGTAGGTCCTCTAGAACTTAGACAATGCTCAAAATGTAATCGTGGTCGTCGCGTTCAACAATTAGAACGAGTGACAACGTACTAACGACGAGCTGGACGTACTACGAACGGAACCGTCGTACTTCAATCCTACTAGGGTCGCTTTAACAACGAGTTGAACTGTCTGAGGACGTGTTGAGAACGAGGTAGAACTAATTGCAAACGGGTTTAAACTGACTAAGAACGTATTTAACACTGCTTATGAACGAGTTAGCAAAAATATAGCTATCACACCAAACAAGTTGCTACTGCGTTCTTCAAAACTGGTTTGAAACTGTGTGCGAACGAAATTAACGTAGCTGCAACTTTCTAAGGTCTATTTACGAACTTTATGAACGTTCTCAGACGGGAATGTGATTTTAGAATTTTGAATCGATTCAAAATTCGATGGCGACCATACCGTTCTGTAATCAGGTCATGTTGACCTTCTAGACTAAGGGACGTTGCACACCGACGTGGTGCGACCTGAACGAACTGCGAACGAGATGGACGTACTGAAGACTGTTTAAGAACGAAGAAGCTAATTATTTCAGACATATTTCCCGACCACAGCCAGATTGAGCCCGTTTTACGACGTTTTCGTAGGACTGGCAAGAACGGGTAAGAACTAGTTTGGTGTGATAGGGGGGTTAACGAGATACAAAATGCAGTTGTAAGTAGTAAGAGTAACGGTCTGTCAAACCCACAAATTGACTTTTTTTATAGAACAGTTATGTTCGAACGTTAAACATGCGTCATATGAGAATGTTCCTATTGTCAAATATCGCAGACATCTGAAGCCTTTTTGGTCAAAACATCTCTCAGAGTTGGTAAAAGACCGTAATAAAAATTGAATGAATGGTGCAATATGGGTCGTCCGAGAGACGCCAATAATGAGTATCGAATTAGATATAAAAATGCCAAAAAGCTATTCAGGAAACGATATAAAACTGAGCAATATCAATATGAGCAAAATGAATTAAGAAAACTTCACGAATCAGAAGGATTGAATCCAAGAATGCATTGGCATTTAGTTCAAAAAAGTAGAGGTGGTTGTAAAGTTATCTCGAAATTGATCAGATCCTCTGAAACTAATGAAATTTTGACTAATCCAAAAGATATATGTGATGAGTGGCGATCTTATTTCGAAAAGCTTTCCACCCCCTCCCAGAGTTATGATTTTGATCACCAGCATGAGATAATGGTTAACAATGCTATAGACCGCATGCTAGCAGAGTCATATTTGAATAGTAACACAATTTTATCCGACCCTCTGACTTTAAAAGAGGTATCTCATGCAATAGATTCACTTAACCTTTAACGTGCAAATGGGTTTGACAACGTTTCCGCCGAGCACTTAAGGTATGGTGGTACTCAGGTCCAACAGGTAGTTAAGATCCTGCTTCAAAGCATTATTGATAATGAATTTATTCCAAACAACTTTCAAATTGGTATACTATTGCCTCTTCTCAAATCAGGTATCCGGGATCCATTAGAAAAAGACAATTTTAGGGGGATTACCCTCATGTCTGTTCTTAGGAAGGTCTTTGATAATATTCTTCTGATCAGAAGCAAGCCAGTTATCTTAAGAAATATCCCCCAATTATAAGGGGCATCTCAATCTAATTGCTCATCGATCCATACACCCCTGATTGTACAAGAGACAATAGCTCATAATCTTGACAAAGGAAATAATGTATACTTGTCTACAATTGATATCCGTAAGGCCTTCGATACTGTGTGGCTTAACGGGCTTCTTTTTAAGTTATTTAACATTGGCATAAATGGTAAATTGTGGAGACTCCTTCGAGAATCTTACAAAAATTACAAGTGCATGGTACGTGTGGATACACTGTCTGCTCCGTTCTGTGTACTTCAAGGAGTTCATCAGGGCGGGGTCTATTCTATGTTAATGTACCAATTATATAATGCTGCCTTAATCCTAGAATTGCAATCGTTAAAGTTGGGTGCATTAGTTGGTGGGTTGGATATCACATGTCCAGTTTACGCCGATGACATATCGATAATAACTACAAGCTCGACATCTATGAATGCACTGCTAAATTTGGCATACAATCACAGCCGTAAGTGGCGGTATGATATCCATCCTGATAAATGTAATGTAATGATTTTTGGAAATAATCACCACGCTGAACAGCCTATGTTCAAAATTGGCGACAAGCAGGTGACTATTGTGCAAAATCAAATCCATGTAGGTATACCCTTATCAACTAGTGGAAGCGTTTCCGAATATGTTGAGAAGGCGGTTACGTCTGGTAAAAGGAAATATTTCTCTCTACTTGGTCTAGGGAGTACTTGTGGTGGACTCAATCCTCTAACGGCATCACGCCTTTATTGGACGCTGTCTATCCCTACAATGCTATACGGTAGTTCATTCATTTCTTATTCAAATAATGATGTTGAATTAATCCAAACAGCCCATAGGCAGATTGGAAAACGCATTCAATGTCTTCCTAAATTTGCTGATAATGTATTTTCAACTGATCCACTGGGCTGGATGGACATCGAGTATAAAATCGCCTTAGATAAATTAATGTTCTTCCTTATGTTGATAACACTACCGGTTAAAAATATTTATAAGCAGGTCTTTCTTTATCGAGCTACGGAATTCCAATATGTCACGGTGGTGCTGCGTCACCACTTAATACAATATGGAATGCTTTAAGCAGATTTGATATTTTAGATGCTGCAACTAATATGATAAACACAGGTGTCTACCCATCAAAGGGAATATGGCGAAAATTAGTTTTAGGTAGGCTACGTCAAAGCCAAAATGCAACGTTTATGATTAAATGTGCTATAAAAAGTGCAACACATTTGTATGTAAGTGTAAAATGCTTTGCCCAGCCACTTAAATGGTGGGCACTCAGTTTCAAATACCCTAGTGATTTAAAATATTGCAAATTAATGGTCAATTTGCTTATGAATCAAACACTTAATGGAAATAAAAAATGGGGTGACAGAAAATGTAATATATGTGATACTGGCGAAATAGAAACATTGGATCACTTTTTACGTTTCTGCAATTCCATAGATGCGGAAAGAGTTGCACTTCTCAATTTATTTAGAACTGGTATAATGACATTTTATTTCAAACTTTCAAATCTGACAATGATGAAGCAATGATTTTAAAAGCCAACGCTGTATTCCTAATGTATGCAAAGCGTAATATGCTTATGCAAATGTGATTTTATTGTTAATGCAAAAAATGTAAATGTACTCACAATATACACTTGTGGTAATAAAGGATACAATACAATACAATACAATACAATACAATAAGAAAAAATACAAAAAAAATGAGAAAACCAAACTTCAAAAGTCGCATGTTCAAATCTTTATGTCGTAAATGCATTATCACTGGTCCCCACCCAGTTATAAACTTTAAGACATTATGTTTAATAACAAAATGGATGAAATTCCGCCGAAGGAAATCTTTATTTAAATCATTTTACCACGAAGGAGGTCCATTTGTATCCAAATATTTTACCCTTGTGTTAATAGTAGTGCCAAGTTACTGAAAAGCGAATCAGGACATCACGTTGTAATAACCAGGTGGGGGCAATGCAGTGATTATTTAAGAACTTCAATAATCTACGTACATGTACACTGTCAAGCAGAGCCAAGTATGTTCAATCTTTATTGACAAAGTTACTCATTTTTCAATGAAGTTACCTGAATGTGTTACACAGTTTGGTCGATGTTTTTGGGTCTTGTATAATCACGGTGTTATAGCATGACGGTTACGTCAAGGCGATTTGCAAAATTTTGCGGTAACGATAACAAAAAATGGCGGATGGGAAAGGCAGCATGTCCTCTTTCTCGCCTGTAGGCAATATTCACAGAAAAGATTTCCGTTTGTTTAAACTAGTTCTATTCGGTGACGTATATATGGGTGGTTATAAAGACTGGGTCAAATCTGCCAGGTGGTCTACAAGAAACAGAATATAAGCTGTAAACCTACCGACTGAGATATCAAAGTTCAGAACAGGAACGTGGTGTATATCGTAAATAATAAGGTTTCAAATGCAATGTCTTTAGACGACTACGTATGACTTCTATCGAATTCTATGGACGGTAACGTATTGTATTAGTTGTACATAAGATATTTAGCGGACGGTTTTAGCCTGTACATCTGTCAAGTCAGTGTTGCTAAATCTGATAGCCTCTTTCCATGTTATTGTTATAATGGGTAAGGAATGGAAGATTGAATTTCCCATATTTGTTTTCAGGACTTGCAAGAGACGCCCTCGTTTCAGCCTCTATAGGACAAGGGAAAAAACTGTCGCTTGCTTTATTTATGAAAACAATGAGAGTGTAAAAGATAGCAATGAAGAGGCAAAAGAAAAAAATAAACAAATTACTTAATTTTGTGTAGTTTTGAATTTCAAACTCGACAGTTTTTCTCTTATTTCATGTTATCCCCGGGCATCAATTTGCAAAGACTACGTTCAAAATATACATTATTACTGAATGCATCACCGAATGCGACGCTTACATAAATCGTTCATCCTTTCATTGTTTAGAAAAAATGCACCAACCTTAGTTTTCTCTCCCATCGCGGCCATTTTATTGGATGAATAAGTGAACATAGCCTTCCAACCTCGTTTTCAGAGGTGGCGTAACCGTCGTGCTATAACACCGTGATAATAGTTGACGATGACATTAAGGGGAATGGTCATTATTCATTATCACCGAGGCCTGTTCTCACGGAATTTGTACCAGTATAGTTTAGAAGGCTTATATTAACTCGAGCCATAGCTAGGTTGACCCATATATAGTTCCGGTGTAAAAGGGAAGGAGGTCCTATCAAATTACGGTCCTACTCTCCATTGATTTATATGATGACCTAAATACAACTCTTTCTCTCATTATCTTATACACAATCAGGGCCAGAAAGGGCCGTTAAGAAAGGGGACCATAATCTTTGGGGGACCATCATTTTTTTCACACCGGGCCATATTGGCTATACTATCCGCCATGGTGGCCCTTAGGCCAATATTTCACCGTGTTAACCACTGAAATGAGGTTATTGGACAATTGGTGTATTGTACCTGGAAGTCTTAATCCAGTCCTATCCATTCAGGCAAGAAGTAGTCCCATGGGTTGAATGATTTGTGCAGGGGAGAGCCAGGTTTAGGGAAATGCTTGTAATAGGTCACCTCCCCAGATGCCAACCATGCTCCCCACCAGCCATAACTACCCGTGCTTATAATGCTATGATTACACCTAGAGAGGATGCAAAGGTCTACTTCATCTCGACCAGAGTCAACAAAATATATACTGTTGTTATTGTTTGAAAGATTCTCTCTACTCCATTTGATATCGTTGGAGCACACTACAAATACGATATTTTTGTGTCTTGATTTGAAATATTCCATGGAGTTGAGAAAATATTGTCTTGTAGCTGTCGTGTATCCTAGTTCTGCAATATGTGGTACTTGTGTGATATCACCACGTCTTACGTGTATGCTCACAAATGTCGGTCTCGCTTCTCCTGCTTTGTTGGCAGCTTGAGTTAGATACATGTTTGCAGCTTTCACGACATCAGTCTTGAATGAAAGTTGTCTTCTTACTTTATGTTTACAGCTATGAAAATACTTCCACGACTGAAAATATCCAAGAAGCTCAATGTTTAATTTGGGGTTAAGACGGAGAGTTCTTTTGTCCCAAATATAGGAGGATTTTTCGAGGAATTTCGGATAGTTGATACCCGGTCTGGAGAATATGCTCTCACTGAGTGCTAGTTCTGAGTTTGGGATGTTGAAAACTTCTGGTAGGATACAGCCCTGTGGTAAATGACCCTGCATTTTATTGTGGTGAGCGATACATGTCAATGAGGCATACTGAAACATTCTGTTCCCCAATCCCCCTGAAAACATTACCGTCAAGTACGACATATTCCCTGTATCACGAGTATCCGACTCCCGAGTGGCAGAGAATACTTGGTCCGTAAACTCTGCAAGAACCACAGGAGCAAATTTATTAACATGCGGCTCGTTCTTTACTCGCCATTCTGCTACAACAATGTGTCCAACCAAAACAAACGGGAAAATTGGCAAGGAAATAAATAGCATAATACAGCATATCATCGCATACCTCCCAGACAATCTCCTACAACCTGAAAATAATAATATATACATGTAAATAAGCTTAAAGTATGATGTTTTTAGAGAACTTGCACGGGAATGTGTAGAATGTAGGTCCTCCGGGGTTTAGTGCCCCCTTTAGTACTTTTAATTTGCTCGATTGAGTATAACAGTATACGAAAATAGTTGTAAGGAGGTCCCAGAAAAAAAACAATTTTGAGAGGACAGTAGTTCCTAGGGGTCATAGTATTTCACGTTCTCGTATAAATCCTATTATTAGGGAGGATAGGTTACACATTCTTAAGAGAACCTTGTACGTGAGCATGTGTAATATTTCGACCCCGGGGATTCCTGTCCCGTTCTCAACTTTTCCAGGGACCTTATTACGATTATTTTCCGTTTACCCTTAGCCTATACTCAATCGGCCAAGTAAGCAGTACAAATGGGAGAACTAATCCACAGACGACCATAACTCTACACGTTCACGTACTAGATTTTTTAAAACGTGTATCTTAACCTCCCTTATAATGAATGACTTAACCTACCTTTATAGCCATTATAACGTTTTCTTTTCTAGATCAAACAATACAAATCATCCACCTACCTTTACAAAAATCACGGGATTTCATTCTCAACGATTCGTCATAACTTGTCTATCTTCTGTTTGAAACTGCTTTAAACATTTGATCACATATTTGCAAAACGTTGTACAGTGGACAAATGGTGGATACATTGACTGAAATTGTAGTGAACAGATAAGAAAATTACAGTTCAAAGTCCTGGTGTCAGACTACTTCAATCCTGTTTAATCATTGATCATATTGCCACGCAGAAATTATTGATTAATCCTGGAACTTATTTTTGAAAAATATAACCTTGAAACTTTAAATGCATATTATCTTTAAATGGGCAGTCATATATTGCCCCCAGTTCTGTGATGTACGAAGTTGTGTTAAATAGATTTTGATTTTGACCATAGGTAAGGTCGATAGAAATAATTGTTAAATTAAGATGGCATGGTAATCGATTCTGCTGCTTCCATTTTTAAATCGGCCTAAAAGCTATGATGATATTTACACAAAAAAATTTAAAAATGGATATTATTGACTACTGATAATCAAACTTTATGTAATAAGTATTCTATTTAGAAATATCTCTAGGGTGATTTTTAGACATATTTCATATTTAAACTATCAATGTATTATCTAACTAATATGACTCGTACTGGTGAACAAATGTGAACTTGCAAATGAATTTTGATGAACAAATGATCTTATTCCCAAATCATGATTCCCTTGTGAGATCTCTACAGCAAGCATTCGGAATTCTCAGAATTCCCCTTAATCACCCCTTAATAATAACAGTTGGGGGAGTAGGGGTCTTGAAGCAAGACAACCACGCAGCACATTCAATCCAAGCACATCTACGACCAACATTTTGATTTACAAGCTTTCAATTGCTTCAACTATCTAACTACCTAAATATCATCGTTTTTCTTACACAACTGAACTTGCAATCTTTTGGCGTAAAGAAAAAGCAAGCCTCGTCTTTATTTGAAAAAAACATACCTATACTAATTGATGGGAGCATTTCAAAAGTTCCGTGTCGGAAAATTAATTGTGTTTGAAAGCAAGGGGGTCTCAGCCTTAAAGGTATTTTCCAGTACGAAAAATTAAAAACAGCTAGTGAACACAACCAAGTCAAATTATACTAAAAATAACTTTTCGAAGCCTATCTATGCCATTCCAAGTAACAATAAATACGAACGTTTTGTTAATAGGGTCTAATCTAGATAAAAGAAACTGAGCCAAACCACAAAATAATATAATTGCATTAACATCAGAATGATATCGTGTGATTTTTGAAATCAATCATTATGGGATCCACAAACGTTACCATCCTATAGAATTAGACATTAGACAAACATTGGGTAAAGATAGGGGCTCGTATAAATCAAAATGCACATCAATATTTCTTCAGCACAGTTATGAAAGCGAGAGGGGGGGTCACAGAATAATTGATCAAATACATGTACAGTTAGAAATCCTACATTGAACTTTTGAGATGCTCCCCGTTGTCTTGTAAATTGCCCTTGACTTAAAAAGTAGAGTAAGAATTGATCGAATTTCCATACATTTAAGTGATGACCTTATTCGACTAACTTGTCATACATATTCAGAGCCATGTAAAGACCAAGATAATCAAGGACAATAATTTCCTTGGAAAATGATTTCGATTCCCTTCCATATAAAAAAATAACCTATTTGAGTAAGATTTTAGTCGTTTAATAGACTTTCCAAGAAGGCCTTCTAACAGCTGGGGACCAAAAAAAACGCTGCTAGAACGAGGGACTCTTTACAATAAAGCATGGGCTTTCAACTAGTCTAGTTGAAAGCCCATGAATAAAGTAATGTACCGACAGAAAGGCAATTTTGTTTTGCTTTTAATGGTATAAGTTTGAAGAAAAACGGTGCAGTATGAGACTCGCAATCCTTGATTTTCAAGCATCTGGCAGGTCAAAAATTAAAATTAACGTTCGAAGTTAGTACCGCGTGCTTATTCGACTAATTTGAGCCATGTAAAGATCTAGATAATCAAGGACAATAATTTTTGTGGAAAATTATTTCGATTCTATATAAAAAATAACCTATTTAAATAAGATTTTAGTCGTTTAATAGATGGCATCTTCAATCACAGGTATTGCTGCATAAATCCCTGAAGTACGCCTTGCATTGAAAATGAAAGCATTAATACTATTATTGGATTACATTAATAGCTATCAGCTAATACAAAATGTTTTCCATACACATTATTTAATGTTCACTGGTAAAAAAGGGGGGATGCAGCATTGGGAGACATGAAATCATTTTTAACCCATACATTCAATGTCATTTTCCCAATGATGCTGTGATATTAACTCCCCTCCATAATTTTGGCAACCTGAACAACACATGAAGATAAAAACATTGGCAGGCTTTGATATGCTATTCAATTTAAACTCGGGTTGCCAAACTTACGGAGGGGAGTGTATATCATAGACAGGTGGAGAAACGTTGATTTTTGGAAGTGCTGTCATTGTTCGTCATATAGAGCAACGAAGTTGTGGCTCATTTGGTACAACAAGCAATCCGAATTCTGAACACAGAACATGATTACCAGTGGAACATTCCAAATATTTTGGGAATTGAGAGAGGCAAACTAAAACGATTGAACATGATTCTTCGATCATAATGGCCTAACCAAGGGCTCTTAGTAAAAACAGTCTAAGCCTTTAGTCATATTTAATGCCTCGATGTATTAATATATTATATATCTTCTTCTTTTTAAAAACAATTAATTACAAAATAATCATGGAAAAAACAAAAATGTACCAACTTTTTAATGTCCAAATCAAAAAATGAGGACGTATTACATGTATCATGGCCTGTATTTTGTATTGCGTTTTTTCGTCTGTAACGTTTTTGTTACCATTAGCAATAGATTAAACGCATTGAGACGTACTAATATGAAATGGTAAAATGCGATATGAATGACGTACATAAACTCTTAAAGAAACATTAATTTATAATTGTAATATATTTTACAAAACCAGCAACGACATTAATTTTTTGATAATGACGTCATTTACAAGTATTTATTACAGGTCATCTAGACCAACGTTGCTTGATTTAAAGCAAAAACCTTGACATTGTGCACCTTGGTGACGCCGTAACTTTTTTAAAAGATCTTATCCTAGAAGCCCATCGGTTCAAAAGATTGTAGAAGACCTAACATATGTCCCCATGCCGGGCGCCTATTCATAAACACATGGAACTGCCATAAACTTTCTCTTGAAAAAATAAATCTTCCAGATTTGTTTAATCTTCTAGCAAAAATCAGCTACTCCTCCGCATGTATGCCTAATGAGCAACAGTCCTGATTTCAAGACATGTTGTTGTCTATTCATTTAGTTTTAGGACACATTTATCTTCAATTCATCGATTGAAGTTGTTCAAGTACTAGTAATCTGCCATTTAGTTACAGATAAAGGTACAATCAGATAAAGTTGTAAGCAACGTGTACTATTGGCCTACCAATCTATGGTCAGTAGAAATAGAAAAATAGATTATCTAGTTTTCCTGGAGTATTCATTTTGGGGATTTTTGGAGATAAACTTGACATCCTCTCATTCTCAACGATTCGATCAGCACAACTTGTCTATCATATGTTTGAAACCGCTTTAAACATTTGATCACATATTTGCAAAACGTTGTACAGGGGACAAATGGTGGATACTGGTCCTGGTGTCTGACTACTTCAATCATGTTTAATCATTGATCATATTGCCACACGGAAATTACTGATTAATCCTGGAACTTATTTTTGAAAAATATAACCTTGAAACTTTAAATGCATATTATCTTTAAATGTGCAGTGATTTAATGCCATTGACGCTTTCAGTCAGTCCTGTCATATATAGATTTGTGTTAAGGTGACTGTTAACTTGATCGATTTTCAGAAAAAATTGAAAATTTCACAATCTTGAAATTTTCAAACTCTTCCTGAGAAGTCGTTTTTATTATTTCACATATGCTTGTGCACTGTAATCATTACAAAGACATCAAAGAACAACAAAAAACTTTAGTTTGAGAAAAAAGTGCCGTTAAAAGAATTTGAGAAGATTTTTTTCTAGGAGTAGCCCGTGAAAAACCGCTGATTCAAAATATCTGAACATTTCAAAAAATATACTTCAAACATATATCAAAAACGAAGGAGCAACGGAAATTTGAAAAATTACCCGATAAAAAAATTGGGATCAAAATAAGGAAAAAAGTACACTTCTCAAATTGTTTTTTTTCTATTTATTTTAATTTGTATGAGAGATTTCAAAATTCTAAAGCTCCTTCCATTATGGGCTATATTAAAGGGATGTTTCAGAGAAATTAGAAAAAAAATGTTCAGAGACCTTTGCCGTGCTACTCTTTTTGTCAATTTTTCTGTCACATTTTCAGAGGACTCAAATTCCCATTCCAAAATGTTTACTGTTTCTATTTGCATTACCACAGTGAGCCTGGTTATATAAATGATAAGTGGAACTAAAAAATTGAGAGAAAATCCAACCAAAAGACAGTTAATTTTGATGGTCAGATTATACTCAAATGCCATGTGCTTCCTGGTTTCGGCCATCTTGGATTTTTTGATTAAGTTATAAGTTACCTTAACAAACTTAATGACATAAGTAACTTCTTTTTAGAAATATCTCAATGATGATTGACCAATGTATCAACTCACAAAAATGGACATACCGGTGAACTTGCAACTGAATATTGTTGAACATGCATGCAGTTAACAAAATGAATCGTGTGCCAAGATAATAAATCCTTTGATTCAACAACAGGCGGTTGTAAGGGGGATCCTGGGATCAGGTCTTGAAGCAAGACTACCACGCAGCACACTCAGTCTAAGCACATCTACAGCAAACCAACAATTTTTCTTAAAATAATTATAATATGTTCCTTTTTATGTGCATATTACAATGTAGCGCTATCTGGTGGCTGGCTAAACGTAAAGAATACGTAACGCCTGTCGACAGAAATTATACGTAAAGTTCTATCATAGCATCCATTCGATACTAGCTAAGCAACTAGTGATTCGTGACATTTAAACGTTTATAACATAACGTACGTCAATATTCTTCTACGGGTATTTAAACATGTCAATTAAGATACATACGAAGCAATTAAGTTTGCTACGACAGCAGATCCCAAG